ACTTTTTGCTATGGAAAATTTTGTATTTTTATGAAAACATTTCCAAAGCACCTTTTACGTAGAATTTAATGGTTTCAGTACAATTTTTAAAAATTAATAATTTAAGAATTATCAACAGAAAATTTGATTTTTTATATGGGACACCCTGTATATTTTTAATTTATTGAAAATAATTTAAAATTACCTTTCCAAAATATAACACACTTGATATTTTGCTCGATTCTTCTTCGAGAGGTAGAGTATATAAAAAATTCGCCAGCTTTAAATAAGAGATGCAGAATTTTATAACAATTTAAAATATATTTAACCAACATCGACACAACATTTAAACTATATCTAATAATAATAAAAATAAATAACTAACCAAGACATGAGATTTTGCTACAGGTGTTCGACATATCGACCGTCTTCTATTATGGACAGACGGGGCAGTTTTTGAACATTTCTCGCGGAATGCATTAATTCAGTGGGGGTGAAAGATACCCTCTCATAACTGCTAAACATTTCTAATTCTTGTCTAGATTATACGGAAGAATAAAGAACCTTTATTCTTCCGCAAATATATCCATAGGATTAGATCCATGGGCACTAAGTCAGGCAGCATCGACGGCCAACGGCTGGGATCTTGGTTAGCTATTCAATTATTCTTGAAATTGGCTGCAAAAATTTGCTGATAACTTCAGCGTTCACAGGCGGTGTGTCGTCTTGCTGGAAAAATATGTTTTCGAGTTCCATTAAGGGCATATCATCAATAAGGGGTCCAAAGCCTACTAGTTAAAAGTGGCGAACTTTTAAAAACTCTGTATTTCGAAGGGGATTATAACAAAATATCAAGTGTGCTATATTTTTGGAAAGGTAATTATAAATTACTTTCAGTTAGTTAAAAATATAGAGGGTGTCCCAAATAATAAATCAATTTTTCTGTTGATAACTCTTAAATTATTAATTTTAAATTTTTTTTTCCTAAAACCATTAAATTCTACTTAAAAAGGTGCTTTGGAAATGTTTTCATAGAAATACAAAATTTTCCATAGCAAAAAAGTTAAGCGATTTGTTAAAAATGCACATTTTTGAAAAACACCCCGTAACTCCGAAACGGTAACAGATATTGATGTGCGGTTTTCACCATCATGTTTTTGATGAAAATTGAGCTCCAGACACCGATATTAGTTTTCGTCTATCTCCTATAGAAAATGGTCCATTTAAAAGTGTCGAATTTGACCCACCCTGTACAGGGTGATTCCAACTTGGCGCATGAACGAACATCAGGAAAATTGAAAATAAAAATCGACGAAATCCAGAAAAATATAGGTTCAGAAATATTTTTGTTAAATTTTTTATAATTGAGTTCGAAGTTTTTTAAAAATCGAAAGGATAATATCAATATTTTTTTTTCCTCCAACCACAACATTTTTTTAACAGGTTCGTTCCAACACAGCAGAGAACTACAATACACCAAAACACCAGCGGCGTAGCGTGGCGTCAATACAGGGAGATGTAAGTAACTGCACTTAACATTTTACCAATACAATAAAGTTTTTTCTTTTTTTATTATAAGTCTTCAATTTTTATGTTACAAAAATAAAATATAACAGTTCAAAAAAAATAATTAAACCAATTTAAAAAAGAACTAAATCTAGTAAACAAACAAAACTGTAAACTTATCTGTTATGGCGCGCTCAGACGACTCGTGTACCTGACAAATATTTTATTTGTAATTAGTATACCGGGTATACAGGGTGCGTCCGGCATCTATACAGAATTTCTAAGTTATTTATTATAGGAGCTACGCCGCAATCTCGCCTGACCCTGTATGTCAATAAAACTACTTGTCAAATACACGAGTCGTCAGAGTCCGCCTTTAGATAAAAGAGTAGACAAGGACAAGGCTAACATATATGTTTATTGAGTGCCTTAAAACCACATAACCAGTGTTCACTTTTATAAACATTTTCACTAAAATGACGAATACACGATTTTAATTTAGTATTATTATTCACAATGTGCGCACAATAAAACGGCAGTGGAGAAGAATTGTAAACTCAGTTAACAACGACAACCAAAAAGTAAAGAGGCAACAAAGTAATGAGACTTTTGAATGTCCGGAGTGCGGAAGAGAGATAACATCACGTATCGGGCTTTTTAGCCACAGAAAAGCTCTTGTAAGAAAACGCCTTGCATAACCATTTTCTGATTCGTGTCAATACCTACTCGTCAGCGAGTAATGGCAATGATAGAGAATTTAATTCCCTTCATTCGGTTCAGCCAGAAAATCGAATCCAATTTTTTTTTGTGTTTCTCAAAAACGGTGTGATGGGGGAATACGAATTTTCGAATTTAAGCTTTTTCAGTGGACCATTTATGACTGGCAAAGTATGAGAGCGGGGGTAATTTGATGGGAGTTAAAGGTGCCACATTGACTGTACTACTCTTTAACAACAAAAACACATTGTAATACGCATGCAAGATATGCAAATATAAACTAACGTTTTTAATTATTACCATTTTATATTAAAAATTATACAAAAACAATGTTAGAGTAAAAAATAAATCTTTGTATTAATAATACCCATTAAATAATGTGTATAACTTTGGTAACTTTGGTGGTTTCATTTCTTCAAGTTTTTCGAAGAAGTAAAATTGACAAAAGACGTAAAACGATTCAAAAAGTATATCTGCCCCCGTCATCAGAATCAATAAAACACAAAGAACAAATGGGGCGTCAAGTTGCTGGACCAGTCTTATCCATTTAAAAAAATGGCCTAATGACATATATTAATAGTGGATCCTGAAATCTACTCGTACATAAACATAATTCCAAACTGCAAAAAAAGTCGCCTATCTATATACTAATATAAAATCCTTGTGACTGACATACTAATTAATCACGATCCTGCTCAAACCACTCAACGTAAGAAGCTCAATTTTGGCATACAGGTTGATTCTAGGGTGTAAAGGTTCGACAAGAAGGGATTTTTCGAAATTCCAGTTCCAAGGGTGAAACCATCCCTCAAATATTACAATATTTTTTATTAAAAAAACGGTCAAGTTTCCGAAAAAACGCTTAAACACGTATATTTCATTTTGTTTCTTCGCATATTTTAAGATTTTTTAAAAATGTATACAGGGTGTTTCGAAAAGTCTGGTCATTGATTAATCACGATACTGCTTAAAGCGCTTGACGTAAAAAGTTGATTTTTGGAAAACAGATTGACTTTAGGGTGTAGAGGTTCGATAAGAAGGGATTTTTCGAATTCTAAAGGCGGGCGGCCACTGCGAGCGAAACTAAACTAGGCGAAGATAAGATTTGTAAAAATCAGCTTCCATACTTTTTAATGCGTCAGCGGCTACTTGACCGAAACAAACGAAAATATATGAACGAAGATTCGAATCGTAGTTTAGTTTCGCTCGTTTTAGTTCGTGACAGGTTCCAGGGAATTTTTCGCAGCGATCATAGAACTATGCTATCCTAGAACTATGATAGCAGAGATACAATACGAAAACTTAGCTGACTACTGGGCGAAAATCGTTCCCAGCCGAGTTCCCATTTAATTACCGTTTGCTTTCGTATTCTTAGCTTAGTTTAGTTACGCTCACAGTGGCCGCTCGCCTTAAGGGGGTGAAACTATCCCTCAAATATTAAAATATTTTTTATTTAAAAAACGGTGAGTCTTTCGGAAAATTTCTTAAACACGTATATTTTATTTTGTTTTTTTTGCATATTTTAAGATTTTTTATAAATTTATCCAGGGTGTTTCATAAAATATGACCATTGAGTAATCACGATTCTGCTTAAACTGCTTGACGTTTAAAGCTGATTTTTGGCAAACGGATTGACTGTGGGGTGTAGAGGTTCGATAAGGAGGGGTTTCTCGAATCTCAAATTCCAAGAGGGTGAAAACGCCTCTCAAATATTACAATATTTGTTATTTAAAAAACGGTTAGTCTTTCGGGAAAACGCTTGGACAAGCATAATTTATTTGTTTTTTTTACATATTTTGAAATTTTTTAAAAAATCATAGTGTTCCAAAAAGTTGGGTAATTTCTTAACCACGATTCTGCTTAAACTGCTTGACGTAAAAAGCTTATTTTTGGCAAACGGATTTTTCCAAAGTCAAATTCTAATGAGATGAAACTACCCCTCGAATATTACCAAGTTATATAATAATATCGCCATATTGTTTTTTCTCATGCTGACATAAATGTGAGAAAATTTTATCCAGTTTGTATGTTAATGGAAATTCTTGCTTTGTTTTATCATCACCATTACGAATGATTAATTCGACGCGAACGAAGTCGCTGGTACACGCTAGTTCCTATATAAAATTCACCTACAAATTACGTTACTGCAGCAAAATCCGTCTTATCCACTTATATTTGCTTTTTATTGTCATTAATCTAACAAATCCCGCATTTTTTCATAAGCTTTGTACCCAAGTATAATATCACTACTGATGTCTTTTCAAATCTTTAGTTAATTTTAATAAAATAGTATATTTAATAAATCAGGTTAGGATGCAAATACCGTATGATCTAAAAAACGGCGTCCAGTTGGCTAGGAAATGACGATCGATGAAATTTCCCATAAATATTTACATATAAAATGACAGCGGTCTTAATTTCATAGCCAATATGCATATGCATCATACTGCAACAAAACCCGCCTTATCCGCATTATTTTTGTATTTTTTCTGTTTAAAAATTAAATATTAATTTTAATTTCTAGAGAAACGAGATACAAAACAATTATTCCACTCAATGGACCCTTTTTTGTAAATTAAAGCTTCAAACATTTGCAAAAACAGTTTTTGATTATTATCTCGAAACAACAACGTTTATGGGATGAGACGAGTTTTGCAACTTGACGGCACAAATAATATCTGTTGTCTAACCAAAATTTATTAGACTAATGGACCTAGAGATATTTATTTTTCTTTTCCAGGCATTATTATCCAACTAGCATACTTGGTGCATTAATATTTATTGAAAAAGGTACTTACATTTATTATGAACAATATTATCACGAAACTTGCTTTTAAAATCACATATTTTTAATCTTTTCCGACTAAAACGCGCTCGTCTGTCTCCTATATAGCTTTGTATGTTTACTATCGTTGTTGTTTTTGTTATTAATAATTAAATCCGCGTTTACATAGTCGGGAAACCCGAGGTTAGTGGCTACGACTGCTTAACGAGAGATTCGACTACATGGAATGCTCGCTTAGTACTGTTCTGTGGTAGGTACTGTTGAAGGATAACACTACTCTCTGATTAGCAATTATTATGCGTACTTGTTTGGATGATGTACATATTTTTGTTTAAATTCTCTCTTGGCTAGTTCTTCCACTTTCTAGCAATTCATGCATTATTTATTTTATGGTAATTTTTTTTATAATATATAATTAAATAACGAATTACTAAAAAGTATTCTGTTTCAAACATCGATATGTAACCAACTCTTCATTTTATAGATAACGACAGCAGAACAAGAAATAAAATTAGAGCATTGCCTAAATATGAAGCTGAGGGGTACTTTTGGAGCTGTACTATTTAATAAAACGCAGATGTTACAAAAGATGATTATAAAAACATAGTTTCGCTATATTAGACCAACAATTGGTTAACTTAATAAAATTTGAACAGTGCAAGTGTATTTAAGTATTTATAAAATAAAAAGATGGTTGATTCTATCGGGAATCTCTACTCCAAATGAGATCGAACCAAATGACCCCTCTTTATCACTACCACAAACCATTCGAGGTGAATAAAATGGATCGAGGGATGTAGAGAGACACAACATTCCTTCAGGACGGACTAACCTGGTATACCGACGGGCCATGTGCAAGCTTATCTTTATCCTGGGAGCAAATACGAGTACTCAACAGTATTCCAAGGAGAAATCTTAGCCATTCTACAATAGGCGAGTGAAAACAACAGAAGAGCTTACTCAGGTAAGCTCATCAATGCCCAGACAGTCAGGCGAATCAAAAAATGTGAATCAAAATGTTTAATGTTATTGCTTACAGAATATATAACTGTCTCAACTATAGGAATTCATTAGATTCCAATATACATCATAACGATAACATTAATTGAAATTAAGCTTTTATTGTTCTTCAGGGGATGTTCTTATTGTTCTTTACTTTCATGTTTAATTTAATATTTAATTTCATGTCATATATTTTTATTATTGTTTAAATAAAGTGTTGCATTTGAGATAATAATAATAATTGACCTTCTATTTTCTTCTTCCTTCTTATTAAATTAAGTATGCCCAAGCAACTGTTTTTGCTCAGACAGTCTTGCGTCTTGTCAGACGGATTGCAACAGGCGGCACTTGGAGTACAAATGTATCGTCGAGACTCGTTTGGGAATGCCTAGGTGAACTGGGAGCTCTGGCACGAAGGAATAAAATTAAATTATTCTGGGTGCCGGGCCACAGCGACACCCAAGGCAACGAAAAATCCGATGAGACAAGGATGATCGGCAACCTATCTTGATCCAGAACCAGTACTGGGAATACACAAATGTATGGCCCGTAATGCACTAAAACTTTGGATCAGGGAAAAGCAGAATGTCCACTGGAGAAACAGACAGGCGCACAGGCACAGCAAGGCTTTTATCCAAGGACCTACCTCTAAAACCACAAAAGAACTATTAATGCTGAGCAGGAATAAAGTGCGGATTACAACAGACCTCTTGACAGGACACATGGCTGTCAAGTGTTAAAGAACAAGCTCAATCTGTATCAAGGAAGTTTTTGCTGCAGACTCTGCGATAAAGGTCCTAAAACAGCGGAGTACATAATATGTCACTGTGAGGCTCTGGATCGCGAGAGACACTTTTTATTTGGGAAAATTAGGCTAGAACCGAAGGAACTATGCTCCCATCTTATCACCTGCATAAGTTAGTAGGGTACAAGGAAAGGAGAATGGATGCAGATATAAGAAAGAGGACAAACACAATAGGCCTCGCTGGTCGCAGTGTTTGCGGCAGAGAACGGCGCTTTGTTATTGAAAAAAATAGCAGTTCTACTAACTGTTTGTATGAATGGGTTAGCTCTCAATAATAAGTCTATTGTTAAAAATACTTTATTGTTTTTTATGTGTGATTTTAGTGAGTCAGTTCAGCCAGGACTCTAGCCCATAAGCTCCTTTTTTTTCGACAAATCTGTCTCATGGGTATTGACCCGCAGCTATTCTCCATTCATGCCCGATTGCGCTGCTTATCCTGGAGCTTTCTCTAAAGACACCAATTAAAAGGCTCTCTTTGCTAGTTAAAAGTAGTATAGACCGTTCTCTTCAACATCGTATCATTGTTGTAGCATTCCGGTCAATTCTGTTTCCAATTTTGCAAAAAGACATCCCAGCCTCTTCTCTACTATTATCCTATCTCGTTCAGGTTCACTTAATTTACTGTATAGTATTTTTTAATGATGGGAATAAACTGAATATCTCGAAACAAATTCTCAAAAATACCTGTTTGATTATTTTCACCCGACCATACCAACAGGTATGGTAGGCTATTAAGATCGGCAAAAAAAGGTTGTTTTAATTTCACTCAAAATGAGTTATTTGGGTCATAAATGACCTAAATACAAAATATTTTCATGGTGTCTGTCTGTCCGGCTGTCTGTAACACGATAACTCAAAAACCGCTAAACCGATTTTAACCAAATTTGGCGCAAAAATACTGCGGCACCCGATAATCTGGCCATTAGATTTTGGTGGGGGTGAGGGGTTGGTAAGGGGGTATGGAAGGGGGTTAAAAATTTTAAAAAATCGTAACTCCAAAATTACAGTAGCTAGCGAAACGCGGTTTTCAATTTAAGATTAGGAATAAAATTTGCTACAAAATTTGTAATAATTTCAGAATCAGTCAAAGTCGCAGTTTTTGAGATAAAAAAAATTGGGAAAATTCCTTTACTTTGAAACTTTAAGAACTGCCTACCAACTTTTTATTAACATATTTTAGTATGGGCGGTTATATGTGCCTCCCGGCGCCAATTTTTTTTAAATTAAATAGTTTGGTTATTTTTAATCAGACTGGGATAAAAATGTTATCGTTTACTACCCTTTATGCAGGCAATCAAACGACAAAACATTTTAAATACAGATAAGCATACACTGGGTGTTGAAATTTCTATGTCACACAGTAGTAGTTTAGAAATATCTCGTGTTTGGTTTGTTGGCAACTAAATAGACATGATAAATAAATACATAATAAAAAAATATATTTTATAAGCATTTTATGTGTACGTCACAACTTATGGATAAATAATATTTCTTAATAATATAATTAATATGATATTACAGAAAGTATGACAATTTTATATTTTTATTTTATTTATAAAAAATATAGCTATTAAGTATTTATATTGTAAATATGTATTATTATTTAATTTATAATTCATATAAAAATAATGTATAATATATCGACATAAATGAGATAAACGTTAAATATGAGATAACAATAGAAATTAGAAATATAAACTAGAATCGTAATGAGGCCATTTGATGAGTTTTTTGTAGACGTTCTGCCCAGGGCTCAGAGTATTGTAAGTTTGATTGTGCGGTATCACGACGTAATCTTCAGTTATTTTTCCTTCATTCCTCAATCTCTGTATCAGTCTTTTACCAGCCTCCTCCATTTTATCAGTCAGCTGATCATAGGGTGTGAGAAAGTTTCCCATGTAGCATATATCTATTGCACGAGGCCTAAAATCAAAAGAAAAAAATATAGAGAGGATTATTCCTAATATTAAATATTTTTTCATATTTTGTGCTATATCAAGGTTAGCCGGTTTAAAAAGAAATAAGGGTAAATAGGTACATATTTATTAGAACTCAGTAGAATATGTATTACCTACGTTGAATGACGAATTAACTAATCTAAATTCTAGTGGACATTATAAATTCAACCCTGGACATTATAAGTTCAATAGAAACATTGAGGGTTGAGGGTCCAGATGCAGATGAACTGAGATGGAAAATAAGAACAGTCCTGGAAAAACCGGAAAAAGCGGACGTCAAACACCACCAAAGAAGAACAAGCTGAGATTAGAGAACTAAGGAAGGACAACACAATTAAGATTTTACCAGCGGACAAAGGTAAGGCCACAGTTATACTGGATGCCCATGATTACGATAGTAAAATCGTGGAGACTCTAGCTAAGGGCAAATATAGCTTAATATCTAGTGATCCTACTAAGACAATTGAAGGAAAATTCTACCGAGGTTTATACAAATATAAGAATTTCCCACCAGATAATTTAAGAACATCGCTTACACCACATTACAGTAAACCACCACATATGTAAGGGTTACCGAAAATAGGTTAGATTAAATATTTTTCGATAGTTTCAGAGATACCAATAAATAAATAAAAAAATATATATTTTTCAGTCTTTCTTAAAAAAATTATTAAAAAATACAAGAATTGTCCTGAAATCAAAACTATATTAGGTATTTACTTTAGACGGTCTGCACTTACTTTGTTATAAATATGGTAATGGTAAATCATACAGGATATCCAAAATTCTATGCCAAACTTTCTAAAACATAAAATAATTTTTCTTCGTTTTTTTTAAATGGAACACTCTGTATATTGTTTTTTTCAGTAGATGGAGGATTAAAAAATGAATATTTTTTGTATTTGTAGTATTTCAAAATTTTAAACTGCTTCGCAGATTTTCGCGGTTTCATATTTCATGTCAAGTAGCAAATTTTATTTTATAAAGGCTGTATAAACAGCTATATGATCATTTTTATAGGATACCTCAATTCGTATAACGTGCTATAAGACCGCAATATGATAGCTTTACAACCAAAAAAGGCCCATTTTTATACAACCGTTTAGTAGTATAGAAGTTCTAAACAACTCTTATGCAACTATTTTACACAGCGTTATATAAGTATTATAAAACTAGTTTTACTGTGTATTAAGTGGTCACATCTAAGAGACAGAACAATAAAAACATTTGATCATTTAGCGAGGTAAAAGAGTATTTTATTTTTTACCGAAGAATATTAGGAGCAAATTATATTTTAAGCGTGTCGTAAAATGAATCTAGAGGATGTGGATTGTTAAAAAGGAGACTTTACTCGACGGTGAAAATGGCGGCTAGAGCCAAAAGGTACAACAATTATGTAATATAAAAAATCATTAATATGGTTTGAAAAGTAGGGACAATTTTTGTTGCGCCGAAAATTTTACTGGTAGATTATAGG